AAGGTGCTTCCCAAAGCGATCTACGACTTTCTCTTATTACCTTTTAAGATTCACCGGATTTTGTAGTTTTCGTTTTATTTAGTTCCACGTTTTGTTACCTTCGTAGGATCTTAAGCTTTTACGTCTTTAAAACGTGGAGCTCCTAAATTACGATTATAAAGATATTAAGATTATTAAGTGAATTGATATCTTCATTTTGTGTGAAAGGTCAAATCGATTGCTGATATAAAATCAATATGTACCATCGGTGTAATAACTGTATCCAAAGATTTCAAGGTCGTACATGATTAGGAAAGGGAATAAAATTACTCTGTCTGTTATCCGCAGAAAGGCTGAAATAGAAATGTTTTTATGTTACGTGGGTAGAGGATGAGGTCATTGGTCTTAGCTAATACAACCTGTTTATTCGTCAATTGTCATATACACATACATACACACAGTAGTTTTTTTACACATTTGATAGTTGCAGCTGCAATTGCTTCGATATTATGAATATGAAACGGCGAAATGTATCTTACTAATATAAATGTGAATGTTTAGAGGGATGAATTAATGTTTGTTTGAAGGAAGGGTCTGGAAGAACACTGCTATTATGTTTTTTTTTAATTCCGCGATCGTTATACAGTATGCAGAGAGTCCCCGCATACGGGATGAAGACTAATAAAAATGATCGTTCGATGCGCAAGCGTCGTGCGGGGACGCAGTTGACGAATATAATGCGCGGTTAGGAAAGGAAGGACTATGCGAAATGAGGGAGCTAACGACTAAAGAAACTGTGCTCGGAGTTCTTTAAATAGTGTTAATAGAGAATTCTTGATATGATAGGATGATGAGTCTGAAACAAACTAAATATGTAGTTGATGTCTACTTCTATATACTGTAGATATCGCGGTATTTGCTAACTAGGTGCCAATCTCACGTTAAAATGTGTTTACAATGTTCATTTTTTGTGCCAACGTAATTGTAGTCTATATTAATCTGGAGTATTGAATAATTATAGGTTTCAATGGCGAGCGTATTGTCCACTGAAATATTCCGTTCAACCTTATATAAGCTCGCGCGCCATAGGTTACCAACCGTTATTTATTACAGGTGCGTTCTAAATTTAAAAATATGAACTGCTATTACCGCCATTTTGAATTGCTCCTTCTTTATAAGAAAAGTTATATAAAAAGGTTTGATAATTTAAATTAAGTGTTGGTTTTAGGTTATATTTGCAACCGTTGTGGAATCTTTTTATTTTTGTAAGTTGTTTTCCGTAATAAATATCTAAAACTGGACAGCGTTTCAATAAAAAAAAATGTATGAAAATAGTAGCGAGCTTGGACCACGTGTTCGGGGCAATTCTGCTGGCAGCCGCGAGGGAAAACTGACTCATCAATTGCCGAGAGCGCGTAAAGAAATATCTCCGTTTATACATACGTTGAAATGATCGTTTGATAAGTACACAAATAATTTGGATTGTTTTTTTCCCAATGGCAATAACCTTAATAAATCTCATATAAATTGCACATTTCTATATCGAACGTTGCAGATTTAAAAATAAAACTGCGAATGACATGCGCGGACGCACTTGCGCACCGGCATTCACGTTTAAAAGAATATCCTCATTTAACCTGAATACAACACAATAATATTGAGAACAAATGCATCCGAGTAATTTCCGGAACGGCAGGACCAATTAAGGCAGGGCTATAGGCTACTTTTTTTTAAAATTCTGTGCTGACTAATTCGAGGGCGACTTCTAGTAATAAATATAATCGTTGTAGACTGGACATGTACTTTGGTTCGAAAGTTATACGTGCAAGATACCGTTAAAAAGTTCTTACGTCCGAACGGAAATAGTATAATTTTTAGAGTTCATTTATGCACGTCGATGTCCATACTATACTATATAAAGATATCTTAGATGTCTGCGATGGTCTTTAGCGGTCTAGTCTCCGTTATTATTTTTATTGTTGGTATAAGTCCAATATAGATTTCAAATTATACGTAATGAAAGTAACCTTTACTTACTAATTTTTATATATTGAATAGGAATATTTAATAGTTGTATTATTTGATAGTAAGCACCAACTGTACAAATGAGGTGTAGCGTCTAAGTAGGTTTAATATTTTCTGCCAGATGCCAGTGTCTCTCTCATCGGGCCACATAACGTTGTCTTACTATATATATATATTACAACGTCTGGCCACTATAAATATCGTTCGGGAAACCCAGTAGTATGAACACCCGGTAAGGGCAGACGGAAAGAGGTCAAGCGCGGGTTCGCTAAAGTCGTACCATTTTAAACAGCCCTGACACAGTCAAAGATAGAAAGACGAATCAACAACAAATCGATGAAACAATAGCTGTACTGACTTAATCTTACTTCTTACTAATTTTACAAATGCCAATGTTTGGATGGATGAATGTTTGTTTGAAGGTATCTGCGGAACAGCTGAACGGATTTTGATGAAATTTGGCACACATGTAGAACATAATCTAGAAGAACACATAGGGTACTTATTATGTTTTGTTCAATTCCCAACTGAGTCGCGAGCGGCAAATAGTATGTATGTAATCTCGTGAACAGCCTAAAGTTACTTGTACTGATTTCCGATCACGAGGTCGGGGATCGAATCCTGCCATTCGATTATTGTCGTTATAAATACATGTCCAAACAAAAGCATATACTTAGTTGTAATGGTACAAGAAATATAAGTAAATTAACAAAAATCTGCTAATATTTTACTTTAAAAAATACAAAATATATGTATGTACGGCTGGATTTAAAAAATAGGACTAAAAGTCTAAACACCAATACGAAACGTAGAGTTCGATTAAACTTACGATGAAGAGAAATACATATAAAGAGTATTTCGTAAATTCATTTCGAAGTTAACTTTTTTTACTTCGCTTAAATTCGACGAGCCGGTTTCGAAAGCCTTCCTATAGCCGCCATTGACCGAAGAAGCCCTACACGTTTGAAGAGGGTAACACGAGTTTTGATGGTCTTTTTTCAAACTGTACATTTTGACGAATCGATAAAAACATAAAGTAATATATGATTGTTCAATATACTTACAGAACATCTGAACAGAAACTGTTGAGGGTTCTTTTTGTTCCAGACTATTCTTGAAGTTTTATTTAACAAAAGAATGCTTCTCGGTATTGAGGTTACCAAGCATCTGCACATAGTATATAGACACCCTTTGGTCTAATTACAGCTTTTCTTTTTCTAGTTATAATTTAGAACTGACTCATTTATAAAATCTACTAATGGAATATTTAATACTGTTGCCTTTTTCCTATTCATTCGAAAAATCAACAATTTTTTTGTTTGTAGTTTGCATAGCGAGGCATTCGAATGCAGTGAGCTTATGCTCTATGGACGATTGCAGCTCTGGTGAACAATTTGACCGAGTTCGTACCACACATCGGGGTAGACAAAGCGCATTCGCTCCGAAGCGATTCCATAACGAACTTCAAAAATGTATAGAACTGACACTCGATAGTCACGTGACTTATCTAAAGTTATTTTCAGTGCTATACATTTTTGAAGTTCGTTATGAAATCGTTTCGTAGTGAATGCACTTTGTCTAACACCGCAGGTGTATACTCAGCCTTCAGAATGTCTTTGTATAGATTAGAGACGTACTTCTCTGCAAACAATTGTTTTAATAAAACTTATATATTTTCTAATTTAATGGTATTAGATAGAGATGGCAATCACTACTAACAATGTTTCGGGAAATTTACCTTTCCAAAGAGTATGTTTGCATGTAAAAGTTAGCATTGAGTTCTAATTAATTGATTAATATTAGAAGTTCTGCTTCAATATTGATTCATGGGTAAGAGTATGTCTACATTTACAAGGAAATATCCGCAATGCGGCCAGAATTATTAATTATATTATCATTTTAAAATGTCCACGTAATAAGTTGATAAGTTCTCAGAATTTACGCATTAGGGCGTGCAAATTTCATTTTAAATTTTGGGTGATATTTTAAGGTTAAAAATTATGTATTTTCGTAATGTAAAAGTTCACTTGGTGCATACAGCTTTGCTAGTTTTATATAAAAGTAAATGATTGTGACTTTGAAAGGCAACGCGATCCTATCGATAGTAACGATTGTCGAGGTTACACGAGGGCAATGTTCCGCACCTTCTACACTTAGATGTTACCGAAACAAATGTACAAAAATATATTCTTACATCTGACTGTAGCAAATGAGATGGTTAATGTTTTTCTAACTGTGGGTTTCTGAGACTAAAATTTCCGTTTAAAACTTAATAATCTTTGTTTTGTCAAAAATAACAGGGATGATGGGTTATACACAGATTGTGGTCTCGGAAGTCAACGGTAAGTGTTTCCGTAGTGAAAACCCACGGTTAGATGAACATTTTACTTGAGTTTTGTATTCTCTCAAGCTATCTAAAGAAATATTTATATAGAAACTAGACATACATGAAAAGTTGTTATAGTAGGTTCAGATTTTTTATATATTTAGGATTAAGCTAAAATGTTTTAGGTTTAGAATATATTACAATCAAGGCAATTATACTAAGTAGTCTCTTCACGTTTAACAATTAAATTCGTACACGGTCTGTAAAGGTGATTTACTATTCTTGAATATTAATTTCCTAGACTATTATTGTTTGACTATTAATTTATACGTGAAATGGATGCGGAAAACTGATGACACCAATTCAGAAAGATTGATGACAAAACTTTGGATATAGTTAAAAGAAAAATAATTTTAAAAGGAGTTGAAACACTAAAACATAGGCATCTTGATATTGGTCACTGAGACTGTGACAGGAGATTTAAAATAAGTAAATCTATGTAACTCATGTATTAATAGTCGTATTTATTAGTCCTTTTAGCCCATCAGTTTAAATAAAACTGAACCAAATCATCTACCGAAGAAGAAAGTCTTGAGAGAGAAAGAGATGCTCGCATGAGAGGTAATTGTTCGTTAGTGTTTTTCTCTTAAATGTGGTTTTTGTTGCACAGGCATCGGCAAGTTGTCGGGCGAGGGCAAACACCTCGCGGATCCCGAGGTGCTGCGGCGGCTGACGTCGTCTGTGTCTTGCGCGCTGGACGAGGCGGCGGCCGCGCTGACGCGCATGCGCAGCGACCAGCCCCCCGCGCACCACCGTCACCACCACCAGGATAAACCGTAAGTAACACACACATGCACAACGGTTGGAGGAAGCTGTACAGGCAAAGAATTAAATTCCCTGCCCACAGCCACTAGAAATTGCATTGTTAGGGTTAAAATACATTTATCCGTAAGATATAGGAAATGTCCTTGACCGTTCAATGACTTTAGTGATTGGCAGCATTTTGTATTAGTAAAATTCATAAGTTTCATATTAATTGTCAGTTAATTTTCAGCAATAAGTCACGTTAACTAATTAATGTAAGTTAGTAAATATGTCCTTAAATGAACGATCACACAGAAAGAGTGCATGTTGCACAACACAAACAGTCCTTCAGTTGATTGCTAAACCGGTTTCTCTCCCATGGATAACATCTCCGGGTAATGACTACAGTTTCCACGGTAGCAACGGATTAACAAACGCTACGTGATTTCGTTCAAATTATACTGATACTAATAAAAATGCCTACAAGAAATCCGAAACAAAGTAATTTTAACTAAAAAGCTTATTTGAATCGAAATAATTTAATAAACTAAGTTTCTGACTCCAAAATCCCCGTAAAAACATATCCCTATCTCTGTTTTGTCAAAGGCAATGACAGAGATGACTATATGTTTTATACATAGATTTTAATCTCAGAAACCAACAATAATTAAGTTTAATTATAATTAAACCTATTTATAGTGGAAATTGAAATAGACAAACACTATAATATACTAGTAATATCTGCTGTTGTTGTACGCAATTTAGCATCGGAAACATCTGGAACTTTCCACAGGACCCTTGTACATCACAACATATGACGTCACGCGACAAAAAAACATTGCAGATAATGTAACTCTCGGTTGTTCAAATGTTAACACGTATATCCCTTTAGTACAAGCGGTTGTTTTTGATTGGCTAATCTTTTGATTAGAGCTTAATTATTTCATTCGTTCTTCTCTCTCTTTCTCTCACACACTTATTCTCTCTTTCTGTCTCTGTCCTCTTTCTTTCTTTGCGTCGATGCTTCATTCCTGCAAGGAATCTCCTCAAAATCGTCTCCCATTTCATAAACTCTTTGTTCATAAATATTAAAGAAAAATAATTTCCAGTAAAAATATATCATTGTTACTAAGTGATAGTAGCTTATTCATGGTAAAAAAAATTGAGAGCAGTAGTTACATACAAACATACAAATCTTTCTTCTTAATAATAATATATATGGGTATGTTTGTCGATAAATATATCGATTGCCGCGTAATTTGTATAAATAAGTGCGGGCTATCTGGCCCCCGAGTGTGTCGCAGTTGACTTTAATGCATTACTAACAAATAAACGACTGCATTGTTTTGGGTCACCTTTGATACGTAACGTTATGTTTTTTAAAGTGCCACAAACAACCTTTTTCTTAGGAAAATAGATTTAATACCTATTATAAACTTGTTTCGCAACTATCGAAACAATTCTACAAAAGCATTGGTCTTCAATCTTCTCAAACATCTCTATTTGTTAAAAAAATGTAAGAAAGTACTATATGTTTTTGGATATCTGTTTCGCCAGTGAAAACATACGGTAAACGTAGACGCAAGGTTTCATAACTTGTCTTCGACGAACAGCGCTGTCGAGTGAAATTATAACACTTTTTTTAATTATGAGGTAATTTGAGAAGTAAAATACAGCAATATATCAAATACATGTCAAAGAATTATAAAGAAAATTTTAAAACTTGTTTAGCAAAATGTTGTTGTGAAGAAACCTAGACAAAACTTGTAGTGCGTAGTGTCTAACATAATGCAATCAATTAAGGATTCAACTAACATTAGTATAATTTGGCGTGGCGATCTTTGGGGGAGGCCTGCAGTGGGCGTCTCATGGCTGAGTAGATAGATAGATAGTATAATTTAAGATTGATTATCAATGAAACTCTATTTGTATCTATGTATGTATATATTAACCTTGTATTAAACAAAAGAGGTAAAATAAAAACATGAACAATAATCGTGTCAATGGTTTATTTATAGATATTCGACCTCGACATATTTCTCCATTAAGTAATTTTATTCCATTTCACGAATAAAAGGAACTGTTGCAACGAATCGGCAAGCAGTGGAAGAAATGACGTAAACAGATCCATCTTTATAAAATATACTGCTTTATAATGAATGAAAATTATATAGTATCGGGAAGGTCGCAAAATTTTTTTAGCTATATATCCTTTATAAAACTTAACGTAGTCATTTAAATACGTCTTGCGTAGAAATGTTATGTCGATAAGCCATGAAGACGTTTATAAATACTATGTCCGTCTCCCATCTTCTATTTTGTACTTTTATGTGTATCTATTATTTGATTTACTACTTGTGTTAACTTTTGTTTTATTATCATTGTAATAGTAGATTTATAATTTTATATGCGTATTTTTAATATGATGATAATCCGAGATTGAGTCGACGATGCCTCTCGGTACGTTCTCGGTCGAGCACCTCCCAGCTCGTACTGATCGAGGCGCGTCCGACCTGTGATTGTTGAAGCTTTGATCTTATCTGATGTACTGATCTCGGTACTGTTTAGTATTTCATGTAAAACGTGTAAGTATAAGCTCCTTATTCGTCCACAGTACACAATGCGCGCTGAATCTGAACGGCGGCGTGGTGGTGACGGGGGTAGGCGTGGGCGCGGACGGCGCACCTTCGCTGGCGGAGGCGTGCTCCGATGGCGACGTGGGCACCGTGCGCAAGCTGCTCACCGAAGGCCGGTCCGTTCATGAGACCACGGAGGAAGGCGAATCCCTCCTTTCCCTCGCCTGCTCAGCGGGCTACTATGAGCTGGCTCAGGTGTTGCTCGCTATGCACGCCAGCGTCGAAGACCGCGGCATCAAGGTATGTCATTAGGTTGCAACATTACCCTAATATCGTAATTTAACTTTTTTTATACAAGAGAAGGTGGAAACGAGTGCGGTAACACCGAGGTGATCGACACCCATGGACATCAGCAACTTAGTTGTTTGTTATGGTGAATATTAGCATTTCGTTTGTCTGTCACAAAGTTTGTTACGAATTGTTCAGAGGTAAATTCAGTGTACACACACGTTTATTTTGTAAGCCCAACTTGGATGAAGTAGGAACGGATGCGTTTTGCAATAAAGACGTCAGGTGGATTACATAGATATAATTTTTTTTTCTTTCATAAATATGATATCGACGAATCACATTTAAACGTTCGATTAATCATATGAAATAGTAATACAAATGTATTACAATTATATAAGAGATTGTTATGCAACACTTGAACCTGATTCATCTGATTTTGCGTGTCGGATTAACGTGATAATTGACACAGGTGTTGGCCTTTATTTTTATCTGTACACCTCCCTACCCATTCCTACCCATTTGAAAAATAGGTCAGCAGTTGTATGTATTATTCTGACGCAGAATAATGCAACTTTATAAATATTTGTACGTTATCCTTAATCTATTGTGATGAGGAAATATATTTTGATTTTTCATATCAGATAAGAATCAATAAACACGTCGATGAATTGTCCACAAATTCGAATTCTAAGGCATTGTTTACATTCGTTCACTTTTTACGTGTGAGTTTACACTGCCAAGATTCATAAAAGAATTTTGTCAGGTTAACAGATAACTTTTGAGATGTATATTACCATTCGAAATAGTGAAATGTAATATTTTCTAGTTTGGTTCTATTGATTTTAATATAAATACAATAATGAATACCTACGTCAAATAATGTACACAAGGTAATTGTAGAAAATAGTTGTATGGGATTGAGAGGTAATTGCAAATAATTGTTGGTAATAAAGTAAGATACTTAAGTAGTATCGTCAGAAAGTGATAAGTAAATAAACATGAGAATGAGGAGAATATTGAAAGGAATGCGACGAAAACGAGTGAGTTGTCACTTTTTTAAACCTATTTGAAGTTCAGATGTAATTAAGTTATATACAAGATATTGTTGTGTTGTGTAAAAAAAACTGAGCAATATTACGTCGTATGATTGTTGTGCGTGAGGTGTATTTAATATTTATAAAGTTGTTTTGTGGAGTTTTCTTTTATGTTTCAATGATTATCTGTAACTTGTGGTTTTTGTTTAAACAAATAGGTAAGTGTATAACGCTTTATTGTTGCAGTTTTTTATATTTATCTTTTAATTTATTCAGATAAGAGGAAAGTCAGGGTATTCGAGACTTATAGTGCGTAAACAAACAATGCATACGAATGTCATATTATTAGTTGACTTCATACTAAAAGCTTACAATTCTGATAAATCTGTGAATCATGTTAATGAATTACTGCAAATGTCAAATAATGTTTCCTATAAATTGTGTTTAACAGAAATAAAAATAGCCGTCGGTATCTTTTATTTTTGTGTCGAGTTTTCGAATTTAATCCTCTCCTTCTCGAAAGGATATTGGCATCTCAATAAAACCGTACCTTTGACGTATTTAATTCTACTTTTATTGTTTTTTTTTGTAGTATCCTGTTGTTATTACTCGGTATGCTTGATTAAATAGTTATTTAAATGTTTTGTTTGTTTGTTTGTTTGTTTGTAGGGTGATTGCACGCCCCTGATGGAGGCGGCGAGCGCGGGTCACGTGGACATAGTGCGGCTGCTGGTGGCGCACGGCGCGGATGTGAACGCGGTGTCGGGGTCCGGCAACACGCCGCTCATGTACGCCTGCGCCGGCGGCCACGAGGACTGCGTGCGCGCGCTGCTCGACAACGGCGCCAATGTTGAAGACCACAACGAGAACGGACATACACCGCTCATGGAGGTGAACACAATATATTGCATCTACAACTAACACCCTGATGATATTAGTCGCTATTCGATTTACGTAATTAAGTGTCGTAGGTGTTAGTACACATTCGACATTGTGTTCTATCTGTGATCGCCAAAAAGAGAGTCGCTTGCAACCTGTTTGACAAGATAAAAAAGTATAAAATATGGTCGATATTAGTAGGTATTTTGTATACGTAGGCGGCGTCTGCCGGACACGTGGGCGTGGCTAAGATCCTCCTGGAGCACGGTGCGGGCATCAACACGCACTCGAACGAGTTCAAGGAGTCGGCGCTGACGCTGGCCTGCTACAAGGGCCACCTCGACATGGTGCGCTTCCTGCTGGCGGCCGGCGCGGACCGCGAGCACAAGACCGATGAGATGCACACCGCCCTCATGGAGGCCAGCATGGACGGACACGTAGAGGTCGCACGCCTCCTGCTCGACTCCGGCGCACAGGTAACAGATTATTTCATCTCACCAATCCTTCCCTACCCATTCTCTGTTTCAATACGACAATAACCAAACGTGGAATATGTGTCAGGTGAACATGCCGACTGACAGCTTCGAATCGCCCCTGACGCTGGCGGCGTGCGGCGGGCACGTTGAGCTGGCCATGCTGCTGCTGGAGCGCGGCGCTAACATCGAGGAGGTCAACGACGAGGGCTATACCCCCCTCATGGAGGCCGCCAGGGAAGGTACGGTACTACATTGTTTGCTATTTTTGTAAAGACCAAATGTATACCTCAACCTATCCTATTCAATTAATTACGCCGCTCTCACAATGTTATAAAAGTTTATTTCCTGGCGATGGTTGAGTTAATTAGTCTGTGAATTGCTTCCTGGACATTGTTATAGTATAAGTGCGATTCTAATAGCATTTACTTGGTATTAAATCAATGTAAATGGCGCTTGTCACCCCAGGTCACGAGGAGATGGTGGCGCTGCTGCTGGGTCAGGGCGCGGCGATCAACGCGCAAACGGACGAGACGCAGGAGACGGCGCTGACGCTGGCCTGCTGTGGTGGCTTCCTCGAGGTGGCTGATTTCCTTATCAAGGCGGGCGCTGATGCAGAGCTCGGCGCCTCCACGCCGCTCATGGAAGCCTCGCAGGAAGGGCACCTTGAGCTCGTGAGGTCAGTTATGTTGTATATTATTATTAAAGAATTTATTGAAATTTATTTTATTTGTGCCATATTTTTTAACTATGTTTATGATTTATGTTACAAATCTTTACTGGAATGAAAAACCAACAATTAAAAATTATATTTGTTCTTAACAGTAGTAACGCTTGATAGCATTACACAAGTTGTTACTTAGATATTGATGAATTCGATTCGTACAGAAGTTGGCAAAGTGGATTGTGTTGTGTTCAGGTACTTGCTGAACGCGGGCGCCGATGTGCACGCGCAGACTCAGACGGGCGACACGGCGCTCACGTACGCCTGCGAGAACGGACACACGGACGTAGCAGACGTGCTGCTGCGCGCCGGTGCAGAGCTCGAGCACGAGAGCGAGGGCGGACGCACGCCGCTCATGAAGGCCTGTCGCGCTGGACACGTCTGCACCGTACAGTTCCTCGTCGGCAAGGTGATGTCATCTTCCAACTGAGTGCTGGTCTCCAATATCAAAAATATTCTAATTTCGCATGAAAATGAGGAAGCTTTATAGATAATTAACATTCAATGTAGTTAAAACTATACCGTTACTAACAGAGTTGTATTTGTGTATAGGGTGCGGACGTGAACCGCATGACGGCGAACGGTGATCACACGCCGCTCTCGCTAGCGTGCGCAGGCGGGCACGCGGACGTGGTGAAGTTCCTGCTGGCGTGCGATGCCGACCCCTTCCGCAAACTCAAGGACAACTCCACCACGCTCATCGAGGCCGCCAAGGGCGGGCACACCGCCGTGGTCCAGCTACTGCTCGACTACCCCCACTCCGTCATGTTGCCCAGAGGTATTGACATTACTTAAGGCTAATCACGGAAACATATTTAAGATATTATGTTACTTACTCTCTGAACTTAGTAAAAAATAAAGACTGATATTGATTAGATTGACATCTTGATAGATAAATTTAATGATTGCACCAGGTAACCCAGCGATAGAGGATGGTATGGGGTTGAGCAGCGCGCAGGCGGCGGCCCTGGGACTGTCGCACGCGCCAGCTCCGGGCGCGCCGGCTCAGCGTGCGCTACTGCCGGCTGCGCACGCGCATACCCATCCGCACCCGCACCCACACCCGCACCAGCATCCACATCCTCACCCCCACCCCCACCCCCACCCTCATCCA